ACTCGCTTAGCTAGTTGATTTTCCGATAACCCAAGGCCTTTCACGGCTGTTGACTTATTGTTTTCGACTAATACAAGCCCCTTCATGACTGTTAATTTATTGTAAGACGTGCATCCTAACACGAATCATAAAGTCCACTCGCCAGCATAAATCCCGTTCGAGCTGCGTCGTCTCCTCTCGAACCGATACCTAAGTGACATTTTCGTTCTCCTTCGCAATTATAAACTGCTTCATATTAACGTCGCATCTTTCGGTATAGCATAAGTTGTGATCTGAACGCGATGTGTATCACCAAAATGCAATTAAGTGAGAACAAAATGCAAAATGCGTCAATGGGAACGCTGATCAGCGGTTGAGAAGCGTAGCAGACGCTCAACTTCCGGGACGAGCCATTGAACTTCCAGTGGCCGTGCGCGCGCCAGGCCGCGACAGCAGCGAAGCGCCATCCAGCAACCCTAGTGGAGATCAGTGGTAAACACGAACGACTGATGCCTGTAACGATTGCCACTGCGATAGTGGCAACAGCGCTATGCTTTTGTTACAATTTACAACCGCAAGAAAACAACTTGGTGGACTGAGGAGCAGGTATAGTTTATCGGTGGTTACTTCCAAGTTCAATATCCGCTTCTCACTTCTTCCAAAAGGCGATATCTGTTTATGCTTTATGACGCTTCTATGCTCATTCGATTGATACGCCCACACAATTGATTGTGATGTTTTCGCGTAACACACAGCGCAGTCGTGCCAGCGCACCGCTCTCGCTCTATCGTTAGGAAACACTACATAACGGCTTGGCCAATACACATGTAGTGTGCCAGAAACATTATGTTATCATATTGGTTCAGCAAGCACACTAATTGACGAGTCTGTGCTCTCGCATAAGAGCCAGAGACGTGCCGGCGAGTGCGACACACGGCTGTCGGTGAGGGGAGGTGCACATTTGGTGGAAGTGCTGCAAGCGCGTCGCATCGATGTTTGTCCCTTTTTGCGCGGACACCGTACACAAAAAATCCTTCATTTAGGTTGAATGATGCCACAGCTATGCTGTGTTGTCATTCTTACTAGTCGAAATTGTGTATTCTGAAACCCAGAAGCGCCGATAACAGTTGTACGGGCTCAGACGGTAGGACTAACCTTTGGTTGAAATCATGGCGGTAGAACCAAGGGTAAAAGTCAAATTTGCGGGGCTAGTCTCGACGCATGTACAAGTTTAAAGCTTTCGCACATTAGAGTTGCACGCACTTTGTTAATTTAAAAGTACGGCTCAAGCAATAGAGTGTGCAAGAATCGCCAGAGTTGCGTTTCTAGCGTGGCAACATCAAGTAACCGCTGTGTTCTGCTCTAACATTGAAAGGGGCAATGGCGAACTGGAGGTCATTTATTTCTCGACAACTGTGCGCCGATGTAAAAATTTAGTGTCACTGTTCGCAGTGACAACTCTAGTCTTCTAAACATCACAACAAAAACACATCGTGGATTTCAAACTAATGTAGGTACGTGCGCAAAATGTAAACATATTAACGGCCGCCCCGTGTGCTCAGATTTGGGTGCACGTTAAAGAACCCCAGGTGGTCTAAATTTCCGGAGCCCTCCACTACGGCTTCTCTCATAATCATATAGTGGTTTTGGGACGTTAAACCCCACATATCAATCAAATCAATTAACGGCCGCATATTCTACGTTCCACAAAAAAAATTGAAGCTTTGTCACACTACAAGAGTAAAAAAATAAACGTGCCGGAAAGCGTAATGAGCAGCATTTGTTTATTTTGACCGCAAACATATATTTCTTCGCATTCAAGAATGAAACACTCAAATAAGTGATTTCACATACTGTCAGGTGCTTTTTCATCATGCCACCATCATCTACCAAGCTTCCATCACTCCACCGTCACCTTGCTCACCAAACCTTCCACCAAACACGTTTTGCCTCGCCACCACCAGCCGGCATTCACCTTCACCGGAGTGCAGTGCTGTGGTGCAAAGTTCCGACTGGCACGTGGATGGACGTGTTTTTTGAGCGCTCCCGATCGACTGCGCAGATAAGTGGTTTTGCATGCTTCGAGCTTCCCTTTGAAATTAATAAGGCAGCAGTTAAAACCTTTGTAGCGCTTATTACATTGTATGGTTTTTTCGCGGGTCAGTTACCAGGTATTTACTAGTTTGTGTGTGTGTTTGTTTCTTTCTGTTTTTTTTCCTCTTGCCACTCCATGGAACAGGTGCACGTACATTGAACACGCAAACTTTTGTAGTAGAGCTTAGACTTTTTCTCTTTCGTAGGACAGGGTTCGTCGTACGCCATGTTTTGCGATTATCGAGAGGGAGAATCGATAAGGAAAATTGGTGTCAAAAAGACATGGTTAAAAATTCTGTAAAGTGTTCAGGATGCGAAGTAGGTTTCAAAATGGACCCAAGTGCAGAAGCAAATGGAGTGGAGGCTGACGCGAAGTGTAGGCAATGTGAGGTCGAGGAAATTGAGAAAATGATGGTTGCCCAGAGTGAACTACTGATGAGAATTACCGAGCTAGAGACTGCGTTGGTGACAGCGCAAGAAAAAATGGCAGTGGCTTAGCTCAGCTATGCCAGGATATACGTAGCGTTAGCAAAGGTTCAGCTGATTATTCTTAGGTTTCCAGATTGTCTAAGATTAGCTTGATTATCATGCTTACTGCTGCTGCAATGACACACACACGGCATACGTATTATGTGGCACATGTATAATTTCTGCTCAACGTCCACGTAGCTTCTCTATTGCCACAAAGACGGCTCGGTGGTCAGTGAAGTAACACGCTGCCGTCTCTATGGCCCCAACATGGTATTTGGCATTGTCTGTCTTTTTGTGACAAACAAGATCAATGGTGCTTCCCCATTAGGTCCTCTGTGAAGTTGGAACACTGGCTAAGTCGAGGTTAAACGTGCCCTTCAAAGGAATAAAAAGAAAGTCTGGAGCACGAGTGAAGCCACCAGCCACCTCACACAGTTCACTTGCCGTACGACTAGATATAGACGTAGCCACTACGTGTATAGTGTCTTTAACCGAATTGTTTGGTGACACATACATGGCTTCGATTATCACACCACTTTCATCAAGCTGAATGGCACAGGCCGTTCACCCTTGGGCACCACTACGATTGGCAGTTCACTGGCAGCAATCCCATTCCTGACATAGATGCAGGCTCCCGAGCTTCTGGTAGCGTCAACACGACTGGCATAAGCAACCATGCTTGTCGCGGACGGCCATTTTTGGCGGCCCCGCGTCACGGCAATTAACGGGCGCCGTACTTCCCCACTGAACATGGGAACGACGGGCGCATGAAAGGGAGCCGAGAAGGGCAGAATGGGGTGCTCTTCTTGGAACGTCGCCGTCGATGATTGATCCTTTTGTAACTGCGGTGGCGTCTGCAAGGTCGTGGAAGGCCGCGATGTACCCCGAACAAGGATTAGGCTACGGGACGCACCGGCTGAGAGCCAAACAGTCTGACCGTTTCCCACGGGGAAAAGCGTGGGATACCCTCTGGTGGCCAAGCCGTATGACAACAATCCAACAGATTGTTACTCTCGCTAGTTGAGGGCCCTCTCCCAATTAAAAAGGGGTGGGGTCAAATTGTTTTTGGGGCGAAGTTTCCCTCAATTAAACGCGCATGATTGGACCCTTGTAGAGGTCTCTTGTCCCCAAGGAAGAGAGCGAGGAGACACGAAGGGGATTTAAGCGCAGGATTTCGCCCTGCTAGGCAGACTAGTCGCTGACCAACATGGTGTAGAAACAGATCAACAAGCATCTCTTCTAGAAGTTTTTAGTGTGGCTCTGTATCGGCTGGCCACCTAAACTTAGCCGTTCGTCTAGTTGTGACGCGATATTAACGTCTGCAACGTAGACATCGGGACTTCGCCTCGAGTTAGCTCAACCTGCTCGAAGTCACCTGCAAGCACTAGCCTCCCGGAGCCACCAGCGTTGGAACACCGCCGACATCGCAGTCGTGCCAGAACTCTCTTCGACTTCTCGCATCCGATCGTCGGGGACACAACGCTGCCGGTCATCACACGTATGCCTTCACCTGTTTATATCTTCGAACTTTCTCCTTCGTAGTTCTATTGTTGTTAGTTTGTGTAGTTTGCAATAGTTCCCTCGTGTAAGCTGATTTATTGTTTTTATATGTATTTTTAGTTGTATCAAGTGTCGATGTTAGTTATTAGTTGTATTGAACTGTTGTACTAGATCCCGTGTGCTGCAATATCACTAGAGTAAAGTTTTTGTTTTCTCACGTCTCTGATCTCTTCACTGTCTCTGCTTGCGTACGGAACGAACCAACCTGCTGTCATTCCCGTCGCCGACTTCGCGCTGGCGACGCTAGAGTGGCAGCTTGTATTAATGCTAAACTCAGGGATTGGGACAGCTTGTTATCACGTGGCAACACCAACCTCTGTAAAGAGGAGAACATCAGTAGTGGTCAAGAGGCGGTCACCACGAACGTCCGCGATATGGCAAATCAACGATCGGACATTGAGCAGGGCGAGTGTGTAGACCGTGGCAGGGTTTGTCATCAGCGCTCTACAGCGAGCATACGCTATGTCCAGGCCATGCTTGTTTAAGCGCTCATACTCTGATACCAAAGCGTTATCCGGATTGCTAAGATGGTGGTAGAATGTGTTGTCTTGCTGCACGTTGGTGAGATACAAGCCCTGGAGGGTAGTGACACCGCTAAGGGCAGCGTAGACCAGCTTTTGAGGGTGAGCCTTGTATACCACAGTGTCGAAGGCACCACCCTGCGACTTGTGTATCGTCATGGCGCTTGCTGGTGCGAAAGGAAACTGGGTTCTGCGCACCTATACATGCCTCAAGGCATTTCCCTTCATGGAAAACGACATGGTGATGGGCTCGATCGGAACCCATTGTGCACACCGCCTCACGCCAGATCGGCCGCTCACTTTGGCCTTGGTTAACGTTCCCACACCACTGGGACATTGCAGCCAAACTCTCTTTGGCGTATCGTAAACGTTAAGCTACACTTCCAATAGCGTAACGACCATGCCGTTCACCAAGCTATCTGTGACATCAATGTTCTTCAGCAGCATATACGGCCGTTTCGTACAGAACGTCCCCACAGATGGCAGGTTGCCACTCTCTGCACGACTGAGGTATCGGATTCTCGCGAGGGCCTCACGTACCTTTTGTCTGCTCCGATGACCAGTCACCACGTGTATGGCGACACTGTCATGCTTGTATTCACAAGACTCAGCAACCATCGTATTATGGACGTCGACGTCCTTACTGAAGAAGAGACGGACTGCCATGGGGCACTGTATAGCAGCCTGTTCACGAATGACAAAATGATCGGTAAGCACACAAATCTCGTCACCGTTCAACTCCTTTCCGTCGCCTATCTTGGTGAGGAGACCCGAGAAGCTCTGTCTGACCACTTCGGTTAAAGGGAAGTATGAGAGGCGGTGCCAGGGGAGCACGGAGTTACTGTAGACACTTCCGCCGCTCCGCGGTCTCTTGTATATCTCACTTGCTCGCACCAAAGGGAGCTGCCTAAGGTCCCCGCAGAAGATTACGTCGAACCCTCCGAACGGCTCCGTCATTTTTGAAGCCCTGATTTCTCTCAAGTCCATATGTCTGAGAAGGTCCGACGACAGCATGCTCACCTCATCCACAATGATGCACTTCATGTCGCGAAACAGCATCCGAAACGTATTCAAATCACTTGATGTAAGTCCCCACTCCTCCCTCCTGTTGGTCATAACGATCTTGAATGCCGAATGTACAGTAACGCCGTTCAACGCAATGGCAACTTTACTGGTTGTTGCACAGGCTACGTACGCATTGACCACACTGTTTCCCTGACCATCCCCATACGAGATGGTATGGTTACGACAGTAACGGTTGTAAACGTCCATGATGAGGCACAACGTGAAGGTCTTACCACAGCCAGCAGGCCCGGTAAAGAAGATCTGCAGCGGTTTAGTCGTTCGGTCAGTAACGCGATGTATCACTTCCCGTATCAACGATGCCTTCTGTTCGTTAAGCAGCCTCATGCTCGCGTAGAAATCGCTTAACGGCATAACGTAGTCTCTACGGTGGACTCCAGGGTACGTGGCTGCAACCACCTTCTGTTGCATTTTCGTCGTCACTTCCTCGGGGACGGAGTCTGAATTATCGTTCATGTCCACCAAGGTCGGCACCATAGACGGCCTCTCTTCCGGTTGTTCCACTTCCTCTGTGTGATTTGCTTCCGAACGGCCAACCACCTCACAAGCCGAAATCAACTCCGAAACGGTTACACCAGCAGAGTACCTCTGTTTAATTTCCATAATGGCTTTTTTGTTATCGTCAAGCATTTTCTCAAAGGCATTGCCATCCAGAATGTCTAATTCTTTACGAAACGGCACGTACAGCATGGCATGTTCCCTCTTATAGTTTATCACGTCGTCAATGCTGTAGTTTTGGCACCTAAGCACGGCTGGCTTCTGATGCTTTCTTAAGCTACTGCGATTGTACTCGACCATAAATTCGGTGAACGTAACCCCCTCCATTTCAGTGGGACGGTGTTCATACCGCTCAAGTGGTGTTTTGTGCCAAATGTCACAACTCGTATGCAGCACTCCCTGTTCCTCTAACTCGGCCTTCGTCTTGCGGCTCCGATGGCGCTCCTCTGGCCAATGGGTGTTAACGTAAACTACATCTCGGCTAGTGGTGCACATGTCAAATCACTGGAGAAACCAGGCAGCCTCTTGGGCCGACATCTCAATTACATTCATCATATTCACCCCTAGCTGTCGCATAGCGCTTTCAAACGACAGCTGGGCCGATGGGTCCTGTTCGATTAAAGTTTTAATGGTTCTGCCCAAGTTGGAGACGCCACAGTTAGTCTTGTTCACGTACTCTACCACGTAAGATGCACAGGCATAAACGTCAAGAATTACTTGGAGGTCCATGTTAGACTTCAGCACTGAGGCTATCCAAGAGTTAAAGGGGTTGACATTCGCCTGATTTATATCCCTTTTAGGCAGCAGCGTAGGCCTGGCGAGTCCACTGCGAATCACCTCCTAATACTTGTCAAAGTCACGTATGCCATGATGTTGAAGCATTTCAGCGAAGGACTGATAGGAAGTGGTGTCGAAAGCACTATGCAACGCATCATGAGTGTTCTTCAGGAAGCAATACTGTTTCAAACCGGCTTCGTCGTCGTCGGCCGGGGCCTGTAGCGGAGTAAGCACTTTAGTGCTCGGCATGGGCCAGAACGGCGCATGGAACGTGCACTTCTAACGACCACCTTTATAGCACGTGTGTGTGTGCTGGTGTTCCTGGCACCTCAGCCACTCCAGAGCATCGTGATCCACGGACAGGAGGTGCTCTGCCATCCTCACGGTGTTTGGCATGAAGTTGTTTTGCACCTCTTCATTCGGAGCTTAATTAAGCCACAAGAGCAGATGAGCATGAGGGCTACCCCTATGCTGAAACTTTATGCGCTTGAAACTTCCCATCACGTGGTACGGCTTAAATGGACTTGTCCTGGAGTTTTCACAGCACTTTCATAATCACCCTAACCATGTGTTCAAAGTAAATTGCACACACAGCTGGATCCTTATTCCCCAACGTCGCCGCGTACCTCTCGTTCATCTCGTCTTCATCAAAGCCCAACTCCTAGGGCCTAACCTGAAGTTTCGCAAGCAGTGCGAGCAATTTTGGCCAATGCACCTCAGATGCAGAAAGCGTCAGAAACACCGTCAGCTTCCCAAGCTGCCTAATCATGGCGAACAGCTCGCTCTTCCTTTTGTGCCAGTACTGCAAAAGGTTTGGAACACCTTCCATAAATACCAAGTCCTGCTCAATGAATTGTTTAACCTTGTCAGGATCTTTGATATCCTGTCTGGTCAGACCGCAAGTTGTCACGCTGCTCCGATACATCACAGTCATTTGCGATGAAACACGGCGATGCAACACCTTCATAGCCATGTACAGTACGTGCATCGGCAAAGCCCCCCGTCTATCTTTCCTCCGAATCTAACTCAAGGTAATGAAAAACGAAATAGGCTTAGCTTCTGGGGTTATACAACGAACCTGGCCCAAGTATATTTGAGGCAAAAACCGCTTCTCAGGATGAGTATCATACAAGATGCTCACAGGTCTTTTGCCATCTCCCGGTGCCATGGTTAAGACCACGTTTTCATCGTACACCAAAGTATTGCCACGTTCCATTTCCCAAGTTCTTGTTATCGTCCCAAAACACCACACGCGCAAACCGCGCCTGCAGTTTTCGAGAAGGTTCCGGGCTGTAGTAGATCATTTCGATAAGATCACGCCCACTGTGCGAACGGTACAGATTGTTCTAAAACCTACGCCACCGCCAGCGATAACGCTACAACATTCGACGGCAAGAGTATAAAATGCCAAGGCGCTACGCCGCTTGTCAGTTGTTGATCGAAGGCCGACGCTCCGTTCGCCACTATCAGTCCGAGACTGCTATCTGTGCGAGACTGCTGCTGTAATTGGACTTTCCGTTTACCGGGCACAGGTTCGCCCAAATAAACAGTTAAATCCCAACACGAAGTCTCCTGTCTTCGGCCACGTCACGACCCCGTGACATCTGGTGGAGGTGCTGCTTCGTTCATGTACCGGACGCCCCCGTCAAGCCGTGAACCCAGCCCACGTCGCGGAGAAGACACCGACGTCAACCAAGAGCAGCGAACAAGCCGCCGACAGCAAGGGCTACCACCGGAGTACGGGCTTCTACAAGACAAGGCGCGGAAGACCAAGGCCATGACCGCGACTGTAGCGACAATGACAACCGCAGCGTCCCAGCCCACGATGGTCATGCATCAACCCAGGGAACCACCAATTTTCCATGGGTCATCGTTCGAAGACCAGGAGTCCTGGCTAGAAATATACGACCGTGTGGCCGCCCTCAACCACTGGGACCATGACGAAAAGCTGCGTCGGGTGTTCTTCTATTTGGAAGACACCGCAAGGACCTGGCTCGAAAATCGAGAGTCCACGCTCCAAACGTGGGATGGTTTCTGCGGCGCATTCCTGCAAACGTTCGCGAGCGTCGCTCGCAAAGAGAGGGCCGCTGCTTTACTAGAGACCCGGGTTCAGTTACCAAATGAGAAGGTTGGAATTTTCACAGAGGAGATGACCCGCCTATTTCGTCACGCTGACCCAGACATGCCTGAGGAGAAGAAAGTTCGTTTCCTTATGCGAGGGGTCAAACAGGAGCTCTTCGCAGGACTAACGAGGAATCCACTGAACACCGTCCAAGAATATGTATCCGAGGCGACCACCATCGAAAAAACCCTTGACATGCGCACCAGGCAGTATAATCGTCGCCTGACTCCAAAATGCGCTGCTGCTCCAACCAGTGACTCCGAAAGCCTGCGTGAAACGATCCGAGCGATCGTGTGGGAAGAGCTGCGCAAACTGTTGCCTTCGGCGCACCCTCAAGTGGATTCCATCGCCGACATTGTGCGAGAAGAAGTTCTGCAATCACTTCGAATTCCCCAAACACCGCTGCCCGAGCCAGAAACTATGAGCTACGTCGCTGCAGTGCGCCACAACGCTCCTCCCCGTCCACGCCAAAACGCTGCCCCGTCGCACTTCCGTCGCCAAACACCACCGCCGCCACCACCCCCACCGACGACCTACCGTTCACCAGCGTGCCAGCGCAGTGCGCCGAGGAAAACCGACGTTTGGCGCACCCCTGACCACCGTCCACTGTGCTACCACTGCGGCGAGGCCGGGCACACTTACCGCCGTTGCCAGTACCGACAGATGGAACTGCGTGGCTTCGCCGTCGATGCACCACGTCCGCAGCCAGAGGAACGGCCACGTGACATCGCCGACTACCTGACAGGAACTCAATGGACACCCCGAAGTCCTTCCCGTTCGCTGTCGCCCAGCCGCCGCATGTCACCGAAGCCCCGGCAGTACTCCGGCCCAACGCGGGGCCGGTCCCCTAGCCCGTATCCGGGAAACTAAGGGCAGCAACCGGTGGAGGTGCGGTTGCTGTGCGACGAACTACCGAAGATCCTCCTCCGACGACGACGCCGCGACGGAGCTTTCCGAACACAATGACAACCAGGCAAAGCCCTTACGGCGAAAGCTCACTTACCGAAGGTGGCCTGACGACGCAACACGGAAGCAGCGGAACAAGCCGACGAAGCCGTGACCCGACGCCACGTCCTAACTGTAATGCGAGACGGTGAACTAGCGACCTCGACGTTCTTATCGACGGCCACAGTGTGACCGCTCTCGTCGATACTGGAGCCGACTATTCTGTCATCAGTGGGTCGTTCACCGCGAAGCTAAAGAAAGTTAGGACAGCTCGGAAAGGCCCTGAAATCCGCACAGCCGGAGGACATCTCGTAACGCCTGCAGGAATCTGCACAGTGAGGGTCACCATTAACGGCCGTATTTATCCTACAGACTTCGTAGTCCTACAGCGTTGCTCGAGAGATATCATCCTTGGCATGGACTTCTTATGCCTCCATGGTGCTGTCATCAACCTAAAAACAAAGCCGATAGCATTATCCACAGAAGAAGCACTACCGCCGCGCACGCCGTCAGGACACCATGCCTTGAATGTGCTGGAAGAACAAGTAATCATTCCGCCTCGCTCAAGCGTCATTATTTCAGTCGGCGCTCTTAAATCACCTGACTTGGAAGGCGTCATTGAAGGCAGTCAGCATCTGTTGGTCACCCGAAATATTTGCGTCGCAAGAGGAATTGCAGAGCGGCAGGGAGGCAAAGCAATGCACTCTAAAAAAAAAGGGAGCAAGAATGGAGAAACGGGCTCCGTTCCTCCTTCGGCGCAGCGACTTCCTCCCTTTCGGGCGCTTTACCCGTCGCGCCCTCTCGCGGCAAGGACCAAAGGAGCAACGTTCCTCCTTCAGCGTTCAAGTTACTCCTCAATCACGGGGGTCTTGCTCGCGCGCATGCGCACGCCAAGCCTATAGCCGCCCGCGGCCAGTCGCGAGCGATTGCTTTAACCTAAGATTGTTGTAAGCAATGCAGGAATGACGTTTTCTTTTGTTTTATTAGTATAGAGTAAAAGCCTCTCTTTTTTTTATCGTCAGGCACTCGCACGATGCTCCGCACACTTCCATGTGTGTCTCGTGTTGTTTCATACTACCAATTTGTCACGAATACAAGGAGCTCTGCTTCCCAAGCAGTCTTGCTTTATCGATTACCTTAGAGTGTAAAAAAAATAATGATTTTTTTCGGTGTCGACATAGTTGGTAAGCCCACGCATTTTTAGTTTCGCACGACACCAACAGCACTCGTGAATTCAACGAGGCGCGTAAAAAAGCGTCACACTTATTTTTTCTATATTGTAGGAAACCTGATACCACTCTACAGTCCATGCGTGAAAGTACGATCATATACAATTGATAGAGTTATACGTGCCACTACCGCCATATGGATGTTCTTTGCAGTTTACCCCCATTCAAATACGGCCGCCGTGGCCGGAAGTCGAACCTGCGTCCATCAGCATAGTCACACGACACCC